ATCTTAGTGCTGCACTTCTTTTTGGGGGGAAAAAAAGCAGCTGCGTTGATTTATACCAGCTAACTGCACTCTAGTGACTGAACTGGAAAGGAATTATGTCTACTGAAGTCAAATAGTATATTTCAAGGTTATGTGCTTGTTTTATTTAATAGAAACAAATTCAAAGATGCACCATACAATTACAGCAATGCTTTTTAGAGTATTTGGAAAGCATCCTCTTAAGCATTTTCTTGTGAAAAGGTGTTTCTTACTGAAGACCGTGTCATATGGTTTGTTTTTTTCATACCTTTCCTGAGCTCCAAATATTATTTTAGACTTGCCACTGACTATATAAATCTCACCTCACTCTTCCAGTTTTGGCTCTGAACGTGGAAACATAGAATGGACTTCTTGCACTTTGGGGTCCCTGCTTCCCCTCTTTCCCTTTCTAATGTACAGAACAAGTATGGTCCAAGCAGGACCAGTGCGGCCTGTCCCAAAGCTGCACTACTAATGTGCACCAACCTTGACATGGTTGGACCAAGTGTAGGTGTGAGAGGGTAGTTTTGTCTCTGTGCCTTTTCCTTCCCTGGACTTCATGCAAAGAAAGGTTGTTAGGCTAGGTCTACACTACCTGCCTGAATCGGCGGGTAGAAATCGACCTCTCGGGGATCGATTTATCGCGTCTCATCGGGACGCGACAATCGATCCCCGAATCGACGCTCTTACTCCACCAGCGAAGGTGGGAGTAAGCGCCGTCGATGGGAAGCCGCAGAGGTCGATTTTGCCACCGTCCCTACAGCGGGGTAAGTCGGCTGCGATACGTCGAATTCAGCTACGCTATTCGCGTAGCTGAATTTGCGTATCTTAAATCGACCCCCCCTGTAGTGAAGACGTAGCCTTAGTTGTAATGGTGGTACCCCATAAGAAAATGCCTTCTTGGTAAATGAGCCACCACCCAACTGTTCCCTGTAGGATCTCTGAAAAAGTACAGAGAGGAGCCACTTGAGTTGTCTTGTCTACCCTTCCTAGAATTGACGGGCATGTTTCCGAAATCTTATGGTCAAAGAGTCAAAGGCAGCTAATGCATCAAAAGAATCGCCAAGGACTCAAGATTTTCATCCATTACCCCAAGGAAATCATTAACCAACACGACCAATGCAGTTTCTGGACTGCACCAGGCTGGCTGGGCTGAGGACTGTCAAAGATACTTTTACCATAAGTGGCTTCACCATCTCAATATTCTTACCCCCAAAATGGATTATCATGAGCAAAGCCCTGTGTCTGGGGGATAGTTCCACCGAGTTGTCTCTGTCTGCCCTGAGGAACTAAAGAGTAGAGCTGGCTGATTTCCCTCCCCCACTTCTGGAATATTTAGATGAGAACAAAGACAAATAATTTTCTTTTAAATTTTCCGTGGAAATTTTTGATTTTTAGTGGAAATTCAAAAACAAAAGTATTTTGTTTTTCAGTCATTCAGCTTTCAGTGAAAAAAATGAAAAATTTCCACAGAAGGTAGACAGTTCTTGTGAAAAATTTTATTTATTCAAAACTCCAGTTTTCCGCTGAAAACCAGTTTCAACAAAAAAAATTCAACCAGCCCTGCTAAATAATATAGGGGACTGGTAGATGGTCTTGTTGATAAGAAGATATTGGACTGGGACTCTGGAGAGTGGAGTTCAGTTCCTCATTCTACCAGAGATTTTCTGTGTGACTCTGGGAAAGTCACTTAATCTCTCTGTGCCTCAGTTCCCCCTCTGTAGAATGAGGATAATGATACTTAGTTACCTTTCAGGGGTGTTTTGAGGCTAAATTAATGTTTGTGTGGAGCTCAGAAATGATGGTCATGGAGGCCGTATAAATACCTTTGTAGACCGAAGGTCACCAGTTTGGTTTTGGATTTTGCTACCAAACAGCTCTGTGAGATGGGATGAGTCAGTCATTTCAGTTGAGTGCCTGGTGAACAGGTGTCCATATCTCACAAACCACCTTCATAACTGGAACCCTTATGGGCAGTTTCATAAAGAAGAATGAATGAGATAGGGCAGTGGCTCTCCACCTTTTTGATAGTGTGACCCTGTGTTGCAACAGATACAAGCTTTTTTTAAACCCCATGCCCTCCCTGCAGTCTAACCATAAAGAAAGTGAAGGAGATTATGACCTTTCCACTCCTGAGCCTGTTCACAGTCCCCAGGCTGAGCACCCATGTGCTGGGAGAGTGAATTATCTTTATAATCACAGAGCTGGGCCTCAGGTGATTGTTAAAGCACAGGACATAATGGGGAAACCAGCACTTTCCCCTTCACATGTTGTACCTGTGGACAAAAGACTTCAGTTTCCAGGGCTGTCAATCTGTCACTTTTCACAAACTCGAATAAATTCACTGAAATATGTTTTCCTTCCCGCAGACAAAGACCATGCAATTAAATTCTTATATTCCCAGACTTAAACATTTTCTTATCTTTTTTTCTGGCTAAAAATAAAATCCCTGGCAATTTTTCATTTTAGGAACCTGTATTTTATATGACTTGCAAGGAAACATAATTCCTCAGACTGTCCTATTCATTTCTCAGCCAGCCGGCTGTCTGACACTAAATTTCTTTGACAAAAAGAGACTAAATATAATTATATAGATATTGTTTGATCTATGTGCTCACCGCTCCCCACCCTTGTCTATAGATCTGTCTCCGTGTTGGTCTGCCTAACTGTAAAAACTGCAGCTGGAGAGAGCTGGTTATATGGAATATCGTAATGCCAGTTAAGTTAGAAGGATGTCCCCTGAAGCTGTGCTGGAAGTTAGTAGCCCAGCTGTCTGTCAAATAAACGGTGACAAGCTTAGCTTGCACATGGACAGCTTCCTGACATCTTTGGGCACCTGGACACTACAGCTCCTGTCAATCAGCACAGGAGAAATGTTGGTAGCTTGTATATTGCAAAAAGCATCACTCCTGCTGCTGCTGCTAACATTTATGATTCCTTATAAGTTGTACTTTATGTACAGGTCATTTGTATCATTGCTGCAGAAACTCCTGTATGAAACAGGAGGTTCTTTGATAAAGCTCTTTCCAGTGTGTTGTCTTATTCCCCAGTTACAGAAGAACCCTGAATTCATTATTCTTTGTCACTTTTCAGGCAAAGACAACTGTGCCTAAGGTGCTTCTTTAACTGGGACTTCATTTTCAATTTCTTTCTTTTCATCTACCCAGAGGTGACACAACTATTTATACCAACAGACCAAAAGTATACAATAAGCTCACTCTGAAATACTTGCTAATTGCCATCTCGGTGGATTTACCAAGACAGGTCAGAGACAACATGTCTTGTTAAGTCAGCTGTATTTTCAGACAAAGGAATACTGGCTTGCTTGTAAAAAGTTTCCCTTTCTGAAACACAGCTAGTGTTGAGTTTGGTTTTCCAACAGGCAAAATGCCTGTAGATCAGATGCAGTGGAAAGGAGAAGGACCAAATAGAAAACTTAATAAAGTGGATAGAAACATGTCTCTTCATACAAATATATCTATGTATAGTATCTTAATTTTTGGAAGACCATGAGTGTATTAGGTGCTAGCGACATTGGCAGACTGATATTACTGGCATATTATTGAGTGAAATATAAGTAGGATGGATGGTCTTTTGGTAACGCACAGGACAGGGAATTGATTCATAACTTTGTCAGCCATTATGTGACCTCAGGGAAGTCATTTACATTCTGTGTGACTCAGTTTCCCCACCAATAAAATGGATATCACACTTATCACATGGGGTGCTGTGAAATTTAATGCATTATTGTGTGTAAAGCATGATTGCAATACACATATTTATTTCATGGCTGTGTATGGCATACATGTACTGCGAGGAGGGCTTCCTTGACAGATTTTTGTTGATTATGTCAATTAGGATTATGTCAATCCTACTATTCCAAACCTGCTAACCTCCAAAACACTTCTGTTGTAGCATCTTACATCTGATTTACGACACCCCCTGCTATTCTAATCTTAGGTCTTTCCTGACCATATTGTAGGGCAGGTGTCCACTGGGCACTGGGTTAAGATCACCAGCCAGATTTCCTGGAGAGAGACAGTTGTGCTCTAACCTTCTGTTCCAGGTAGCCCTAAGAACTGCTCCTTTTGTCCTGCTGAACTCTTTCTGATGGAAGGACAAATAGCCCAAATTTACAGCTGGAAAATGCAAATGTGGCCAGGTTACTTTAGATCTCAATTAGTAGCCCCTTTGAATGGTAGAATAAAACACCAGGTCAAGGTCAGATGGAGGTAAGCATGGATCCACAATAAGGATCTTTGGGCCAGATTTTCCAGAGGTATTTACGTGCCTAAATATGCAGATTTGTGCCTAGTGGGATTTTCAAATGTGCCTAAGCAGGTTAGACACCTAAATCCCATTGAAATCAAATAGAAATTAGGCACCTAACCTGCATAATCATGTTTGAAAATCCCACTAGGCACCTACCTGCATCTATAGGCACCTAAGTACCTTTGAAAATCTGGCTCTTAGCCATATTTGTGAACCTACTTCTCTGAACTGCCCTAGGGGCTTAACGACCAGTCCTGAGAATTGGGCCTATATACTCTGAGCCATCACAAGGATTTGGAGGATAGCATTCTGCCCTCGGTTACACCTTTGCAGTCACGTTGACCTCAGTGGGATTGCAGCCAGGTACACAATCACAAATTGTCTCCTGGAAATTTAGTGGGGGCATCAAACTGAAAACTACCAAGATCAGAAAAAAAATGTGATTCCAGACTGCATAGCAAGTAAGGAATCTTCTTGACCCATTTGGTTCTTAAAGACACACCGGTTACTTCAGTCTGTAGTGGGCAGTCATCATAAGCTGTTAAAAACTCAACTCCGTTGATGGAAAACTATGTGCCCATGGGGTGTTGGCTTTGGTGAGGTTTCTGCTTTCTCCCTCTTGTCATTCATCTAAAATCTCCCCATACTCTAACCCCTTTTCACGCTGAGATTTTAGTCTTTTCTAACTGATCTTTTTTTTCCCATTGCAGTCCCCACTCCATCCCAGACCGCCTGCGGATCCGAGTGAACAGGATTAGTTTACAAGATTACGAGGGGCTGCATTATGACAAGGAAAAACTGCGAGAAGCCTGTAAGTCAGTAGTGGCTGAGCTATTGCTTTCTTTTGCCAGATAATGTCTGTAAGAGACCTGATACTAGAAAAAGTGCAAGGATCAAGTATTCATTATGCGTAGCTTGTACATGGAATATACAAGTGTGTCCATAATTAGGCGTGAACTTTGTATGTTATTTACATTAATCTTAGAATAACGGATCCTTGTTTATCATCCATGTATGGACGTAGACAGTAGTCATAAGTCAGGATAGTATGCTTGTACTGTGCATAGTAACTGAAAACAGCTGTCTTTTTTTTTTTTTTAAATCAGTGTCTCCCTGGTGGCCATATTGGATTTTACTCATTTTTAAAGATTCTGTAATTGACTTAAAATTTCCAGGCAGGTGTTCAATTATTGGATTAATCATATCATATCTAGGAGTTGCATTGGCATCTAGGATGGTCACAAAGCAGATATATTTGCCTTTGCAGGTGAATCATGCAACCTGAATCCCTTATTCTTTAACAGCCCTCAGCACTCCATACAGAAAAAAATAATCAGTGTTTTGTGTTCTCTTGTAGTGATTTAATCATAGAATATCAGAGTTGGAAGGGACCTCAGGAGGTCATCTAGTCCAACCCCCTGCTCAAAGCAGGACCAATCCGCAACTAAATCATCCCAGCCAGGGCTTCGTCAAGCCTGACCTTAAAAACCTCTAAGGAAGGAGATTCCACCACCTCCCTAGGTAACCCATTCCAGAGCTTCACCACCCTCCTAGTGAAAAAGTTTTTCCTAATATCCAACCTAAACCTCCCCCACTGCAACTTGAGACCATTACTCCTTGTTCTGTCATCTGGTACCACTGAGAACAGTCTAGATCCATCCTCTTTGGAACCCCCTTTCAGGTAGTTGAAAGCAGCTATCAAATCCTCCCTCATTCTTCTCTTCTGCAGACTAAACAATCCCAGTTCCCCCAGCCTCTCCTCATAAGTCATGTGCTCCAGCCCCCTAATCATTTTTGTTGCCCTCCGCTGGACTCTTTCCAATTTTTCCACATCCTTCTTGTAGTGTGTGGCCCAAAACTGGACACAGTACTCCAGATGAGGCCTCACCAATGCCGAATAGTGGGGAATGATCACATCCCTCAATCTGCTGGCAATGCCCCTACTTATACAGCCCAAAATGCCGTTAGCCTTCTTGGCAACAAGGGCACACTGTTGACTCATATCCAGCTTCTCGTCCATGTAACCCCTAGGTCCGTTTCTGCAGAACTGCTGCCTAGCCATTCGGTCCCTAGTCTGTAGCAGTGCATGGGATTCTTCCATCCTAAGTGCAGGACTCTGCACTTGTCCTTGTTAAACCTCATCAGATTTCTTCTGGCCCAATCCTCTAATTTGTCTAGATCCCTCTGTATCCTATCCCTACCCTTCAGCGTATCTACTCCTCCTCCCAGTTTAGTGTCATCGGCAAACTTGCTGAGGGTGCAGCCCACGCCATCCTCCAGATCATTAATGAAGATATTGAACAAAACCGGCCCCAGGACCGACCCTTGGGGCACTCCGCTTGAAACTGGTTGCCAACTAGACATGGAGCCATTGATCACTACCCGTTGAGCCCGACAATCTAGCCAGCTTTCTATCCACCTTATAGTCCATTCATCCAGCCCATACTTCTTTAACTTGACGTCAAGAATACTGTGGGAGACTGTATCAAAAGCTTTGCTAAAGTCAAGGAATAACACGTCCACTGCTTTCCCCTCATCCACAGAGCCAGTTATCTCATCATAGAAGGCAATTAGGTTAGTCAGGCATGACTTGACGTTGGTGAATCCATGCTGACTGTTCCTGATCACTTTCCTCTCCTCTAAGTGCATCAGAATTGATTCCTTGAGGACTTGCTCCATGATTTTTCCAGGGACTGAGGTGAGGCTCACTGGCCTATAGTTCCCTGGATCCTCCTTCTTCCCTTTTTTAAAGATGGGCACTACATTAGCCTTTTTCCAGTTATCCGGGACCTCCCCCGATCACCATGAGTTTTCAAAGATAATGGCCAATGGCTCTGCAATCACATCCACCAACTCCTTTAGCACCCTCGGATGCAGCGCATCTGGCCCCATGGACTTGTGCTTGTCTAGTTTTTCTAAATAGTCCTGAACCACTTCTTTTTCCACAGAGGGTAGTCACCTCCTCCCCATGCTGTGCTGCCCAGTGCAGTAGTCTGGGAGCTGACCTTGTTCGTGAAGACAGAGGCAAAAAAAGCATTGAGTACATTAGCTTTTTCCACATCCTCTGTCACTAGGTTGCCTCCCTCATTCAGTAAAGGGCCCACCCTTTCCTTGACTTTCTTTTTGCTGCTAACATACCTGAAGAAGCCCTTCTTGTTCCTCTTAACATCTCTTACTAATTACCACATTCAGGGTGTAAAGTTGAAAACAGGCAGCCGATTGCATTGGCATCACTGATGACGATGATCCACATGCTTTAAAATGAAGTCCCTTTCCTTGATGACACATGGAATCATTAATCAATGCGGGACACGGCTGCTTGCGATAACAGTTTAATAGTCTTGCTCATGCATCTGGCTCATTATTCATGTTAAATTACAAGCAGTCTGTTTGTTGTGTAACAAAGCTGTAGCTTCCTCTATAATACAGGACTCCCTGGTAATTACAGGATGGCAAGCCTTTTAATTGGTTTGCTTATCTTACTGTAGAAAGATAGCAATACTGTTTCAGTCTCTCTCCCACTCCTCCCTAGTTCCTTGGCTCACCATCACTTCTTCCAGCAATAGAATTGAGATGGTCTGAATTTTAATACAGGTTCTGATAGCCTCTTGTAAGCTCCTGCTGGTAGATTTCAGCCATAATTAAAGCAATTACTGACTCCATCAGAGGGCTGATGAGAATTATAACAAGATGATGGTGAAGTGGAGTGGATGATGGTAGAGTGGAGTTTCTATTAATAAACTTGAGATGTGAGTCCGATGGACCCTAGACAAAAGGGAACAGATTATAAATATTCATTTATACTGTGAAAATGTTATTTTGGGTGAATTGATGCCTCTTTTAGATCTCTTTTCCTGTTGCATAGTCTCAGCATTTGAGGAAAGGAAAACATACCCATTGTCAATAATTTTTTAAAATCCCTTAACAGGCCTAAAACAAACCTGTTCTAACAAACAAACAATTTAGAAGATGGGATACTGTTATTACAACAGTAAATACATATTATGTTATTTGTTACTGGTGAAAAACACAATGATGATGTTATACTAAATGTCTAGTAAATAATGTAAGAGTATTATGAGAGATGTGGCAGATCTCTGATCTGGATTTTGTTTGTATGGGAATCTGGCCATTTGCTGGATTTTTGTTCAGATTCATCATAAAAATAAAAATTTGGGTGTCAAATACTTAAAATGGCTACTGCCAGATAGTGGAGACCATTTTAAATATTAGCCTGCTCCTTCATCTATTCTTCCTGCTGTTTCACTTCCTGCTAATTCCACCTCTGACCCCAGACTGGTTCCTCACTTTCTTTTTAGTACAGCATTTCTTTCTCACCAGCCTTTTCCTGGTCCAAGACCCAACTACTCGCTGCCTTCCTTCCTTCCTTCCTCTGAATGCTTTTTGTAGTAGTAAAAATGTTGGAAAACAAACAAAAAAGCCCAGTCCCCCTCCAGCTGCCCCCCTCCAATCAACTTAAAATAGACGACAAATTCATGCATCCTCCCCACTCCCCTTACAATACTTAGAAAAGTCCTGAGTGAATATATAATATTTGAAATTTACCCTAAAAGTCAACAGACTTGTACTTTGTTGGGCCAAGAGCTAAATACTTCCTACTAAAATTGTGCTTACTTCAGTTTACTGGAGTTTGAATCAACTTTCAGGATGGTTCAAGGGAAGAGAAGAGTTCTCTACGGATGCTAGAAACCAAACTATTTCATAAATTATAGTCATCTTGAATTTGACACCTAGGAAAAAAAATTATCCATGCAGTCCAGTGAGCATAATGACATAACCTCCCTTCCCAGTTACCTTGTGACATAGACAGCATAGATCTCCTATCGAGATGTCTAAACAGCAAAACATGGTTATGGGTATGGCAAGGAATGAGATTGAAGACACCAGGCACCTTCAACTAACTGAAAGATGCAGGTAACTATTATTACTGCATTTCTGAAGTGGGTTATTAAATATATATTAAATGATTTTTGGTAGCAGCTCAGTGGGTCTGAACAGGTAGACCAAATACCCCCACTCTCCATCTTCATCAGTGAGATTCCTCCTTTTGCCTGGGGCGCTGGAACAATGTGTATAGTGGGGGTGCTGAGAGCCATTGAACCAAACTATAAACCCTGAATATCATGGAAACCACTTGAAGCCAGGGGGTGCAGCAGCACCCTGAGTTCCAGCACCTGTGCCTTTTGCAATAAATTATCATTAAAAATTACCAGCCCAAGGGAAAAAACAAAAACTGCTCACCTGTTCTTTACCAAGATAATTATAATGAAAATGATATGATAGTCTACTCGCCTGTCAAAAGAAAAAAAATCACTTACCCTGGGCAAATGGATAGGTAGAATTTTGCAAGGCTGATTTTAAAACATAACTATAGATAATCCCTACGTTCCAAAGAAATATAGCTGTTTGTTTGCTGCCAAGCAGAGACCCTGTTATATGAATTCTAAGTTGGAGAGGCTCACTTTTGAAGAGCGTGCCACTTTCTCTGCATCAGGTCATGCCCCCACAGTAACACCATGGCTTTCAGCAGCCTGTATTTCTCACTCTGTACCCTTGTGGCTCTCAGTCCACACATCTTTCTGTACTGTAACAGAATCAACATGGATATGGAAAGTCCAGAATGTCTCAATTACTGCCCACTTCCCTGCTCCCACTATCTTAATAAAAAACCGCCAACAACAACAAGACAGAAATCAGAACATGAAAAGGAAACCAGTTAATAACAACCCACTTTATTCTCCCTGAAGGAACACTTCAGGAAAGCTATTAAGATTTTGCCTATGACATGTC